GGTGGGATCCTGGCGGACGCCGCAACTCGCCCCTTCCATTTTGGCACCGCCACCTCCGTCCATGCCGCGCCGCGCCCGCGCGCGAGGCAGCTAGGGCGCGGCTTCGAAGCCCTGCCCGCCCTCCAAAGGGCCCTCTGTCGGGCGCGCCCCTCCCGCACTGGACGCCCCCGCCGCCGCGGCGGAAGGGGGGGGGTCCAAGGGCGCACAGAGGAGCGCTTCCGCGGCGGCGCCCGCTGGAGGGCGGCAGTTTAAGACAGCCCCGCAGGCACGCCATAGGCCCCCGCCATTAGGCCCAAACCCCGAAGGGTCGGACGAGACCCCGCCGGCCGACGCAGCCACGCCCACCTCCACCCGCGCGACGTCGTCCGAGAAGCGCTGGGCGGGGCTGCCACCGCGGCCCAATTCGCACGCGTCGTCCGCAGCCCCCGCGGCCGTGCCCAGCTGCGGGCGCCCCCTCCGAGGCGACCGCCCTCTCCTCGACGATCGAATCGCAGAGTTCTCGGGAAGCCTGGACCATCTCGTCGAGCACGCGCCGCATCAGGTCCGCGGCCGCCACGTGGATCCTGAGGTACGGATCGAAGTCGGTTGTCTTCACGTTGTTGAGGTCGTCTGCCTACTGGTTCCCCATCGCGCGGTGGCCGGCCCATGCACGGCGCCATCTCGCGCGACCTCAACCCCGCCGAAAGCTCGACGTGGAGGACCGTCCACGGCCGCTTGGTCGACGCGGCCCCGGACACTGCGCAGGCGCTCCCCAGGTTGTCCGTCGACCCCATCATCTCGAGGTTCGCCCGCTGGCGAAGCTGCCTGGGCGTCGAGAACAGCTTCGCGGAGAGGACGGTGCCGAGGAGCTCCAGCGCTGCGATGACCCCGTTTGGACCGTCTGCCTTGGCCAACGCCCGAGGGAACCATTCCTTCTCTAACTCCAGCGCGTGCCAAGGAGCTCCTCGCGCGCTGCCGTTCGGGGCGCTTCCCAGCCACCCACCCAGCGGCGCCCTCCCTCCGCCTTCGCGCCCAAGCGGATGTGCCCCGCGATCTCAGTTTTGAATGTAATGAGCGCTTCTAGACTTTGCCCGCTCGTCAATCGCTTGCCGATCCCATTCGGCGCAAGCCTGACCACCCACGCTAGGGGGGGCTTCGTCGCTTCTGTCCTCACGACGCCGGCGCGCCAGACGCACGCGGCCTCTCCCAGACAAGGACCATGGACCATAGCCAAGAAACCCAAGAGCCCTACGCCGACTCCAAATCGCCCTCGCGGGCGGCGCCGCGTTCGACCGTTTCCCGACAGCAGGCTGCAACCCCAGCCGCCCTCGCCAGCGAGAGGCCCACGACGCAAGTGGTACAATCACATTCGAAGCCGGCCCAGTCCTTCTCGAGGCCGCCCCGCGCCCTGGCCCTCTGCGCCGAGAAGCCGACGCCGAGTAGGACGAGCGCTGCCAATCTCCCGCGTCGCCCCGTTTCGATGGCCCCCTGGCCATTGGCAGCGGCAGGAGATTGCGCACGGTAGGGCCCCGAACAGCCTGGCAATCCATTCTGAGACGCTGGATACGCCGAAGGTGCCGACGGTGTTGCAGCGAATCTCACCTTCGGACTCGCAGGTCGGCATGCTCCACTCGTCCTGGCGGATCTCGACGCGCCGACGCGCACCCCCGACGTCGGTGGCGAGCGAGAAGATGGCTTGGTGTTCGTCCCGGAAGAGTTCAGGAAGTAGTTCTTCTCCGCGGGCCTCGGCATCCCCCGTCGCATCCTGCGTCGAATCCGATGGTCCACGGCAGACCTCGCGCGCGTCATCTCGCGAGAATATGTTCTTGCCGCTCGCGCTCTCCAGGGCCGCCAGTGCCGCTATGGCGCAGTTGCCCCGCGGACATCTTGATCACCCTGCCCGAATGCACCTCGTCCGCAACGTGCTCTCGGAGCCAATCGCCGCGGTCTTCACCGCTGCTGTAGTTGGCTGCTTCTGGGGCGGCCCAATTGGACGCCTCATGGTCGAGGCGCCACTTGGCGAGCTCGAAGAGCTTTTTCCTTCGGGGGCATCTCGCGCAGGAATCCCGCCGCGACCCCCACCTCAGCCCCTTCGTCAACTCTGCGTCGGGCCCCCTTCTTCGCGCGGAAGCGCCGCCGACGACGCAGCCCAACTCGTCGCCGCGGCCTGCCCGCCCCTCTGCCAGCAAGCCTTCGGACCCCCCCCCCGCGAGGTAGGACGGCCCAGTCGGATCGGCGCCAGCCGGGCACCTCCGAGCAGCCAGCCCGAACGGGGCGTGTTCTGCGGCGCCCCGGCCGCCCCTGGCTTCTGCGACCCCTCGGGGGGCTTGGGCCCCAGCTCGGTCCAGTCCAGGAACTTCCGCAGGTCTGGGTCCCAGCGGCTAGGCGATGGGATGCCCGTGGCATCGCGGAAGCCTCCCGGGCCCGCGATGCACTCGCGGCAGCACGGCGGCCCTGCGCCTCCGAACGGCGCAGGGACCCCGCGGTCGCGCGCTTCTTTTCCTCCCGCCATGCCGCGATGATGGCGACCGCGAGGCAGTCGGAATGCAGGTCGCAGTGGCTGCCGAGGGCGGTGCTGTCGAGCTCCGAGAGCGCCTCGAGCAGGTCTGACCCCGTCAGGAGCCAGTTCGCGAAATTCGTCACGACGGCCTTCGTGCCGTAGCGCTTGACGGGAAAGGGGTTGCCCCGGTTGCTCGTCAGGATCTCGTCGCTGCCCCTCCCGATGCAGATGTCGCCTCTGCCGAGTGGGCCGACCTCTATGGGGGGGCCCTTTTCGGGGCCTCCTAGTCCTCGCCCTGCTTCCCGAGCGGGTGCGACGAGCGGCTCCAAGCATGGTTTCCCATCCTGGCGTCGGCGGGGTCGTCGACGTCGGAGGCGCCCTTGGGCAAGCAGGACACGTCGGGCAAATAGGGCACGCAAGAGGTGGTGACGCTGGCGGCGCCGGTGTCAGCCGCCAGACAATCTGAGCGGTCAGGGAGATCAATGCAGAAACGAAGGTGTTGGGTACAAGTCCTCCAGGATTCTGTTTTTAAATCAATCGCGACAACCGGCATTGTCGGGGGAAGAAGGGGGGGAGTTCGCCCCCCCCCCCCCAATCACATCCCGGCGGGGGACCGCCGGAAATCCTGGGAAATCGTCGAAGCATCCGTAGAGAGTCTTGCAAACGTGGGCAATCGGGGATCTGCTGACCTGGGACAATCCAGACCCGGGTCAGTCGGGCCTTGCAGGATCCTGCACCCAAACCCGGGTCAATGCGACCCTGGCCCTGCAAGATCCTGCAAGATCTGGCGCCCTGGCTGACTCCCGTTTGCAGTGACCCCCGTCTCTCGAGTCCCGAGGCAAAACAGCGTGACGTGATCTGGGGGGGGGGAAAGCTGGGAGAGGACCGATCACGGCGGTTATCGCCCGGACCGAGAAATCAAAACAAAAGGCTCCAGAGCTAGAGAAGACCTGTTGCACGGGCGGCCCTCCTCTGCTGACCCTTACAAGGTAGGCTAGCCATGCATCCCCCATACAATAAAGTGTGATAGCGACGTTGTCGGCGAAGATGGTGTAACCAGCCTCGAACTGATCCCTATCCCTAAGGTGGGCGAGCAATAAGCGAGGACAATCGTAGGGATGCGCCCTCAGAAACCAAGGGAATCCTTAAGATCTGCATGGTAGCAGTGAAGGAAGCGTGTGACAACAAAAACAAACAACACCAACAACAACAACAACAACAACAACAACAACCACAACAACAACAACAACAACAACAACTACAACAACTACAACACCAACAACACCAACAACAACAACAACAACAACAACAACAACAACAACCACAACAACAACAACAACAACAACAACAACAACAACAACAACAACAACAACAACAACGACAACACCAACAACAACAACAACAACAACAACAACAACAACAACAACAACAACAACAACAACAGCAGCAGCAGCAACAACAACAACAACAGCAACAACAACGACAACAACAGCAGCAACAGCAACAACAACAACAGCAGCAGCAGCAACAGCAACAACAACAACCACAGCAACAACAACAACAACAGCAGCAGCAACAGCAACAACAACAACAACAACAACAACAACAACAACAACAACAACAACAACAACAACAACAAAACGATCGTGGGCCCAGCATGGGCCTGGCCAGAATCGGCGTGGTGGCCAACTCACATCTTGCGCCATTGGCAAAACTGGGTTTAACGGTACCTGGTTTATTGATGCGCGCTTAGGGACGAGTCCCCCGCCCCATTCCGCTAATCAGGACTGCCGCCACCAGAAAACAACAAGCTACAGAAGACCTGGGCTAGTAGTTCCAGCGTGTTTTTCATCTTCAGGGCCCTATCGCTAACTGGCTCCCCTTACCCGGAGCCCTGGCTGTACACGATCATCCCCTGAGGGTAGGGGGGAGGTGAGGCTCATTACTCCAGGCTCCTGCGGGGTTCCTGTAGCCACTTGCTCGTGGTCCTCTGCCCCCAGACCGATGCACCACTTGGCACGGCGGAAACGCTCCTGAGAGAAACGGGTCCTGGATCCATGGGCTCTTATCGAGAGGCCTCCTAGACGGGGTCCAACCCCACCTACTCCGACCCCATGGGGGAGGCCTAGATCCTAGATGATCCTAGGTCCTAGGCCGAGGTTGTCAGGCCCAGTCGTTCTCTAGCGGTCGTCAGGGCCCGTGGAGGGCGAAGGCGATAAACAAAACCAAATTCCCTCGAGAACCCTCTCTTTCACGGCGGTCCACCCGTTTTGGCGGAGCGCAGAGGGGGGCTAGGGCGAGGGGGGGAGGCTTCTCAGAAGGATGCTGCTTCTCAGAAGGCGCCGGCCCTACATCTGCAGACAAGAAGCCTTCCCCCCTCCCCCTCCCCCCTCTGCGCGTGGCTGACCGTTGCTCGACAGTGTGCGGCCGAGCCGCGGGCATGCAGCAAACCAGTCGCCCTGCCGACTCAGCTCGCTCAGGGACACCAGCAGCGAGGGCGCCGGCGCGAGGCCCGCCGGGC